GGACATTAGGAAAAAGTTCCTAACTGTCAGGGTGGTTAAACACTGGAATAAATTGCCTAGGGAGGTTGTGGAATCTCCATCTCTGGAGATATTTAAGAGTAGGTTAGATAAATGTCTATCAGGGATTGTCTAGACAGTATTTGGTCCTGCCATGCAGGCAGGGGACTGGACTCGATGACCTCTCGAGGTCCCTTCCAGTCCTAGAATCTATGAATCTATGAATATACTGTGTGAGGTATCTGCAAAAATGTTATAATTTGCCCAGTATGATGATCTTGTTTATATGTTTGTATCACCTTTTTCTTATGAGTTATAGATATGTAGGGTATGTCTGTATTTCAAACTTGTGCTGTGTGTCTGGGTGACGCCCCCAGACAGATTGACATTAGCACTGCCTAGCCTGCTTGATGCCCCGTCAAGGGACATCAGCTATACAATTGACCCATTTAGAGAAGGCAAGGGATACACCCTGTGACTCAGCAAGGCATGCAGGGATATGCCTATGGACAGGAGTATGGAATGGCTTCCATATGAGGAGAGATTAATAAGACTGAGACTTTTCAGCTTGGAAAAGAGATGACTAAGGGGGGGGATATGATTGAGTTATATAAAATCATGACTGGTGTGGAGAAAGTAAATAAGGAAGTGTTATTTACAAGAACTAGGGGTCACCAAATTAAATTATTAGGCAGCAGGTTTAAAACAAACAAAAGGAAGTATCTTTTCACACAGTGCACAGTCAGTCTGTGGAACTCTTTGCCAGAGAATGTTGTGAAGGTCAAGACTATAATAGGGTTCAAAAAAGAACTAGATAGGACCATCAATAGCTATTAGCCAGGATGGGCAGGGATGGTGGCCCTAACCCCTGTTTGTCCGAAGCTGGAAATGGGCCACAGGGGATGGATCACTTGATGATTACCTGTTCTGTTCATTCCCTCTGGGACACCTGGCATTGGCCACTGTCAGAAGACAGGATACTCGGCTAGATGGACCTTTGGTCTGACCCAGTTCGGCTGTTCTTATGTTCTCTCTGTACTGGACCTAGGTGCTGATTGGGAGCCAGAGAACTAGAATGCAATAAAGGGGGCAGTGTGATTTCTTTTTTGCTTCTTGATAACCAGTGTGGGGGATCAGAAAAACAGTTTGTGACCAGTTGTGGAGTTTAACTTCAGTGTTACCCACCAGTCTTGGGAATATCTTCTCTCCCTTTTGTAGCAAGCCCTGACCTGGGCATTTCCAGTGTGGGATGCCCTAGGCAAACCGGGTCACATTGGAGTAGTCGGCAGGATACACGGAACCAGATCATTTGGGTTTTGGATCAGAACCCCATGCTATTCCAAATTTGAAATTTGATACTGAGTGTTAAAGGTTAGTTAGTCAGCATGAGTGATCCACAGTCATAACTGCAAGCCCTGGAATATTGTAATCCTCTGAGTTTACTGTGTGTCTTTAGTCAGAATCCATCTTGAATGGCATGGTATTAAACATGAAGTTATAGTAGGTGTAAGGAAGTTATTTTGCCTACAGATCTTTTGATTGGGAATGATATGAAAGCTATGTTTTATTCAGGGTAATGCCAGAAAAAGTATGAATGTGAATCCTCTGTATTATCTGTATCTAACACAGAAGTGTGTGTGTGTGTGTGTGTGTGTGTGTATGACCAGGTGGAAGACCTAACTGAGGAAGGAAAGAGAAGATTTTTGGTGGGTGATGGATTGTTGGCAAGTAAAGTTTGTAAAAGTGAGCCTGAACAAGGTAAAAGTAATTTGCTTGAAGTAGCTCAGTATGCTGAGCCCCTGTTTGTGAAAAACACCAGTTTCTGTGGAAGAATGTCTCCAGTTGTTTGTCTGTTGGGAATGGCAACCTGCCTGTTAAGGAAGCTGCCCCAGTCTCTCAAGGCTGAAGGAGAGGAATAGGAGCCATGGTCAGCAGGTTCATGAACCACCCATAACACTTCTTTCTGCCAAGACCACTCTTGTCCTCTGGGGGATGGTTTTCCCCTCATTTCCTCTCATGGGAAAACATGGAGGACAGAGGAGTCAAGAATTGGTCTAGAGTGGGGAATCCATTCAGTGATTGACAAGCAACTTGATACTCATCATTATGTTGTGCTTATCAAACGGAAAACTGGTGCCCTGAAGACTGCTCCCCTCTGTTATCAATTTACTAGCTGCAGTGAACAGAGTGACTAGGTAGCTTTCCCAGTTCTGACCAGGGAATGACCCATACGTATCTGGATCCCATTTCCTAAGTGAAGTCACTAGAGAGGGGACTGTGGCAGAGGCACTAGAAAAAAGCCCAGATAGCTTTTGTCATGTCCAAATGTGGCCCCAAAGGATAACATCTCATTCTCTCCTTTTAGTTAAAGATGATAATGGAAGACACCAGAAGAAATAGACATTGTGTACTTTTGAGAGAGGAGCAACTTCCCACATGTTGATTTTAGCATGATGGAGGAAAATCATCACAAACCGCAGCTCCTTTACACTGGTTCTGTCAGTTGTGCAGTGGAAGTTAAAGATCCATTGCACGCTTTCAAACCATGTGAAAATTTTGGGCCCTGGTGTCCTAGACCAATGTTTCCTTCTTGCGTAAGAACAGCTTCTCATTTCCACTTGGGTTTGTGTGAGCCATTGCTGGGTCTGTAATGATAGCAGTGCGGCTTCACAGTCTTTACATCAATCAAGAGTTTGACACTGATTAAACAGTGCTTTGAGAATATGACTAAGGTCCTACATAGAGCCACTGCTGCATACTGCGATTATACACGCCACCCTTCAGACAGGGGCCTTTGTTCTGACCTGCGTTGATAGGCACCAGGCTGTATGGTATTCCAAGCCCCAGTTCTGCTCTTATGAGCACAAGAAGCAATGCAATCAGCAGACATCAGTTTTATTCAACTAAATCATGTCATCAGTGTTTCTCTTTTTGAAACAGGTAACGCCTCCTGCTAAAATATTATAGATTAGAGTAGGAATCCCATGAGCAGAACTCTTCAAAAATCTGAAAACTAGATACAAATAATAATTCATGGGCTGGACTGTGATCTATTAAAAATTACAGGAATTAAATGCTATTTCTGTCGGTGTTGTAGGCCTGACTCCCAAAAGTGGCAGATAACAGGAGAGGAATATATTGTCTTCATCCAGAAGGAGGAAAAAATTGTATCTATTAAAATCTCTAGTAATATGCCCCTTTGCCCATCTACCAGTCAGATCTGTATCAGTCTGCCGCCTTTCTTTCAAACTTCTATTAAAATTCCATTGCCTTAAAGGAGCAAATTCAAAGCCTCTTGGTCCAAAATGGGACAGAAGACACAAGAAACATATGTTGAGAAGGGGTGCAACATAGGGAGTCTGAAATAGCCAATCCTAGGATGCCAAGAAGAGAATACATTTCAAATCTTCATGTAATTTGCAGAGTGCCTAGATAGTATGGAGACTGGCACCATGGTTTGCTGTGACAGTTTTAGTAAGGCATTAAACAACTTAATTGCATGCCATAGGCAGTTGAAAAGGGAATCCTCTATGTGGTGTGACTTTGCATAGACAGTGCATGCATGATCATGCTTTGTGGACTCATCTTCTACAAGATGGCCTTCTCTCTGCGGGTTGGATGGATCTGGCCCATGGCCGCTAGTTGAGCAATGCACAGCCAGTTAGACATATAGTACAAGCCTTGCATATATAGATGGCATGACACTGAATTGATATCAAATATCTAAAATAGTAGCAATAGATTGCAGGATATCCCACTGTTTTCACCTTTCTCGTGCTCTATTGCCCCTGGGAGTAATGTGAAAATTTTGGGATATGTTGGAGAAATCTAAATCTTCAATGAGATCCTGCAAATATGAACCTATTCCTGACTTCAAAAGCACTAGTAGCCAGAGGAGCCAGTGTGTTTAAGGAAGAGAGCAGGAGCTCTCTTCATCCTAGAGCTTTGCAGTAGTCTCCACCCACTATAAGAATCAACTGAGTATTGGAACAAATACATTGAAAACACAGGAAAAGAGGCAGTACTCCACAGGTCGAGGGGAAAGGGAAATTGATAAATACTTTATATACATGTGTAGGATGATGATAGGAAGGAGGGGAAGGAGAATGTTATGATGAGAAGTTCTGGCTGGGATGGTGTATTGGTCAGACAGTATTTTGGCTGAAGCAGTATTTGGTGCCTTTGGTAATGCCTGAAGTATTTGCCTCATTGTGCATTCCCATTATCAGGGAAGTGGCAGCCCTGGTGCATGCTGGTATGCACAGCTTCTCTCCTCTAGACATATCCCTGATCTATAAACAGGCAATAACCAAAGTGATCCCCACTTTCACCGTATGAAAGTTTCTGATTCAAGAATGCCTCATTCCAGGCTATGAGGCTAGTCTGGGGAAATCAATTATTTGTAAGCAGATAAACTACCCATTGCCATAGCCCTTGTTCTAAAAGAAGAGACATGGCATCAAAATATTATAGCTGCTGAAAACCTCCCCACACATAATGTTAATATTTATATACAGGATAATAAACTGCCACCCAGATCCCTATATGCATGTGATGGGTCAGAATCCTTGCACCTTCCTTCCAAATTAATAAAATCCAACAATACCATTTTAAATGAGAAATTGTAAAGTATCCCAGTCCAAGGTGAAAGAGGTGGGGGAGGCAATAAAACTGAGTATGGGACATAGTGCCTCATAATTGTCTACAGAGTGTAAATGGTCTGGGGCAGGGATTTAGACTTCATACTTCTCTGCAAAGTGTTCAATGTTATGTTGGCACCATATAAGTAATACTAACTAGGGAAAAGGTTTCTTCTCATTGTCACTGAATGGGAAGATGAGTAAGTGGAAGGCCCTGTTGTTTGTGACACAGAATTTGATGCCTCCTTACAATGTGTGCTGTGGTCTAAGGAATCTGCATTTACATTTTTATCAGGTGACAGCTTATTCCCTCTATTCCATACCGCTATGCACACATATGTACACCTTCTTTCTCTCCATTGTTCAGTGAAGCAGGAGCTGAAACTACTTCCAGTCACATTGGTTGTCAGTTGGTCTACTCTGAATTATGAAAGTCTCTTTGACACATCAAGTGTCTGCAAAGCCTTAATCTGGGTAGTGATGGAGGGCTCATCCTGAAATAAGAGAAGTAGAAATAAAACTATAGGCAGCATCTGAAAAATCACCTTTTCCAGTTCCCCACACATTCCAATCTAATCTAGAGCAAGGATCATCCCACCTCTTTGTGAGGTCATGTAATAAAATGGAGCCGTTCAATGTATCTCTGTCCAGAGTGAAGCAGTATTGGGAGGCAGGGAAATGTGAGCATAGGTGCAGTGTCATGCAACTGTATATTGACATCTAGATGACAAGCTTTTCTGGACAAGGTATGTTGTTCTCTTACTTATCTGTAACTTGCTTTGCATGCTTCTGGCCCATACAGTCAATATTAATAAATGAAATGATTATACGCATTAGATAGGAAAAACGGTAAGGTCTAGATGCTGATAAGACAGTATCCTGAATTTAATTTTGGATCAAAATGCCTGCAGTCCCTTTCTATCAATACATTTGAGTAAAACTGCAGCTCTGTTATATTGCTTAACGCCCAAGATCCAACAATCCATCTCCTGTCCAATGCAAAACCAGGCCAGAATAGAGGAGAACTTTAACACTTACTAGGTAGAAATGGAGTCAATCTTATTAAGAAAGCCTCATTCAGGACCACATGTTCATCCTGTGATTTAATAGGGGCTACTTATTGGCTGTGAAAAGCAACAAAGAGTCCTGTGGCACCTTATAGACTAACAGATGTATTGGAGCATAAGCTTTCGTGGATGAATACCTACTTTGTCAGATGCATGTAATGGAAATTTCCAGAGGCAGATATAAATATGCAGGCAGTCTAGAGATAATGAGGTTAGTTCAATCAGGAAGGGTGAGGCCCTCTTCTAGCAGTTGAGGTGTGAACACCAAGGGAGGAGAAACTGCTCTTGTAGTTGGCTAGCCATTCACAGACTTTGTTTAATCCTGAGCTGATGGTGTCAAATTTGCAAATGAACTGAAGCTCAACAGTTTCTCTTTGAAGTCTGGTTCTGAAGTTTCTTTGCTCTAGGATGGCTACCTTTAAAACTGCTATTGTGTGGCCAGGGAGGTTGAAGTGTTCTCCCACAGGTTTTGTATATTGTTTCAATTATTTCAAATTTGGTGACGATATATACCTCCAGACCACTGGCACCGCTATGGGCACCCGCATGGCCCCACAATATGACAACATTTTTATGGCTGACCTGGAACAACGCTTCCTCAGCTCTCATCCACTCACGCCCCTTCTCTACCTACGCTACATTGATGACATCTTCATCATCTGGACCCATGGGAAGGAGACTCTGGAAGAATTCCACCACAATTTCAATAGCTTCCAACCCACCATCAACCTCAGCCTGGACCAATCTACACGGGAAGTCTACTTCCTAGACACCACAGTACAAATAAGTGACGGTCACATTAACACCACCCTATACCGAAAACCCACCGACCGCTATGCCTACCTTCATGCCTCCAGCTTCCATCCCGGACACACCACACGATCCATCATCTACAGCCAAGCACTGAGGTACAACCGCGTTTGCTCCAACCTCTCAGACAGAGACCAACACCTACAAGATCTTCACCAAGCATTCTCAAAACTACGATACCCGCATGAGGAAATAAGGAAACAAATCAACAGAGCCAGACATGTACCCAGAAGCCTCCTGCTGCAAGACAAGCCCAAGAAAGAAGCCAACAGAACTCCACTGGCCATCACCTACAGTCCTCAGCTTAAACTTCTCCAACGCATCATCAGTGATCTACAACCCATCCTGGACAATGATCCCTCGCTTTCACAGACCTTGAGAGGCAGGCCAGTCCTCGCCCACAGACAACCCGCCAACCTTAAGCATATTATTGGCTGTGGCTTCTGAAGGTTCCTAAGGAAGATGGCATCAACCTGAAATAAGAGAAATGGAAATAGAATATTAGACACAGCTGAACAATCCCCATTTCACCTTTCCCATTTGCTTTTATTGTCCATGTTGATATACCCTCAACTTCACCAGCAAGCTGGATCTACATGACTCTTCAAAAGGATAAAATAGAGTCGCCTTCCCTACAGTGGATCAGAAGAAGCAAGCAAAGAACTGTGGGTAGAGAAAAGTAGACTCCAGTATATCCCAAAGTGTTTAGTAGAGTGAACCCCACTGACTTGCATGTCTAGCTAATCTGTATTGTTCTGGGGAAGGTTGTAGGAGACAATGCCAAGGAACTGTGGAAAACTAGATCCTGTTCCCAATCTCATAAGCACAAATAATCAGAGTAGCTGCTAATGATTGTGTTTGACAAGAGGGAGGAACTAAGCAAGGGCAGGAGAACTGGTGACTCCAGGCCTTAACAGTAAAATTAATTTAATATTGCAGATAACTGAGTCTGTAATAAAGGAAACAAGGCCCTCACTCACACATAACAGAGAAGGAACAAGATAGCATGATACAGGGTAAAGATAGGGAGGGGAAAAGGATTTACTGCTGGGGGAATTCATATGGCCTGCATTTTTCTGTGCCTCTGCACAGAAAAATGCAAATAAAATCTACGGGGGACATGGCCTCTTCCCCAGCAGCGCGTCTGTTCCAGCATGCATGGAGCAACCTCAGAGAGGGGGGCGGGAGGCTGGGCATGCATGCCTGCATGATTACTGTCAGGGGGCGCTGGTGGTATGTGCGTGAACAATCGAGAGAGACTCTGTTCCTCTCCCTTGCTACAACAGCTCACTGGTGTGGAAGGGTAGGGCTTTTTATTATGCACGAGGCAGTCTAGAGGCACAAATGTAGTAGCCCTGCCTGAGTTAGATTCATTCTCTGAGGCATTAGCAGCCTGACTATGTAGTTAGTAATGTCGTTAAAGTTGCTGTTGATGGTTAATTGATCTCATTCTCTGAAGCAAAAATGTAGCAGCCTGACTGTTAAAGTTAATGTTGTTAATGTTGCTATTGTTAGTTAACTGTTCCCATTCTCGGTCAATTTCCCCAGGAGTATAAAACCTGTAAAAGTTTTAAGGCCCCTACATTGCCAGAGTGATGTAAAGGAGCCTTATTATAAATGAGAGTAAGGGAATCCTCAGCTAGGAAGATCTATGTGCTTTCTCACTTTATTTCTGTGCCAAAGTGGCACAATGGGGTTAGAAATCATCTCAGACTTTGAGGGCAAATAAAACATTTACCAAAGAGTCAATAAAATGTCAGGACAATCAGAACCAAGCACTTCCCAAAGTACCCAGCCAGGTCCAGGACAATGATTACCAAAACTGTATGACTTTCGTGTGTTAAAGTCTGAACAATTTAAAATGACATTCTACTTTTTTTTTCCTGTTTGGTGTTCTGTAATGTAATTTAAATGAAAGGGTATTAGTTACCAAGTGTTTGTAACTTAACTTTCATGTGCTTAGGAAATGCTGAATAATTATTGTGTTTTTTCTGTATTGTAGTTTAAATAAATTACCAAAACAGTTGAATCTGGTGTGATTATATTGCATTATTTTGACAAATAAAGGATGCAGAATTTTGCAGAATTTTGATTTTTTTTTTTTTTGGTGCAGAATTCCCCCAGGGGTAAAGCATGATTGACTTTTGAAGGAGATGCTAAAATGAGAAGCTATGACCAAGTTTTGTCATAGACCAGGCAGTGCCCTGAGTGATCCAGAAGCTGGTGCTTCCTTAAAATGCCTGCAAGGTGTGATCATCCAACACTTCCCCTTTCAGGAAGTTGATTGCCATATTACACGCCTCCACCCTACTCCCTACACTGACGTATCACCCTGTGTGGTTTTTGAGGAGGGAGGAACTGAAGAGAGACTCAGTATTCGCTGGGCAGAAGATGGCCCATTCTTCAGTTGATCTGCCTGAGACTGTAAAGTTGGAGATGAAGGAGATCTATGTCTCAAGGGAAAAGAAGCACAAACATTTGCATCAGCACAATCCCATTTTACTACCTCTCAGTAAGATCTGTATCAATGTGCTGCATTGTAAGCTCTTTTGTGCAGAGACATTGTATACTGCTCTTTAAAGCTCTGATGACATGATATAAATTGGAAAGTAAAGAATCATTCTTTCTTGATGTAAATGCTAAGATGAGAAGCAATAGTTGGGAGAAGATGTTGGTCGGCCAGTGTCCTGAGGAATCTGGAATTTGGTGCCTCCTTAGAATGCCTGGAGCAACATAATCATCTTGTATTTATGTTTTCAGGTAGATGGCAACTCTATTCTATGCTTTAACCTGAGCCTTTACTGACCCCTCCCTGCACAAAAGAAAGAAAGATGTCCCTGCACAGTAGATCTCCTGTACTCACTGAATGGAAGAGGGTCTGCTCAAAATTAAAGCAAACCTCTTTCAGGATAGAATGGTTGGACTGAAGCCTCCCAGGGCAACGAACACACTGTGATCTGTTCAGTGGCCAAATGCTGGAGATAAGGAAAGGGTGGGACAATTTGCTCTAATCATGGATGTTGGGGTGTGGAGTGTTTTGGATGTTAAGGTGTGGAGTCATGGTCAGGGCTATTTAGGGGTCAGACAGTGCCCAGGGTGAGAGAGAGAATGTCGAGCTTTCTTACAGTTCCCAGACTGAGAGAACTGTCCTCCATTATCAGGAAGGTGGCAGCACTATTCCTTACATACACTTAAGCCCTTACGGATCCTCTTCCACACCATTCTTAATGTACGCACAAGCTAGAATTAAGGAGAACTTGAATACTCGCTGAAGAGGGGATTGGCACTACATGGCCTTCTTGGGGCTGATCACTGAATCTGAGAATCTGAGCTCTCGGCTAATGTACACTGTGTCCTAAAATAAGAGAAATAGATGCAAAATATTATTAGCAGCTGAACAATGTCCCCACTTGTCCTAAATATGTCATAGTGGCCCCTGTTAATGCACAGCTAAATTCACCTCTACCAGTACATTCTATTTAAATCCACTTTCCTTGCCTCCAACTTCTAATAAAATCCATAGTTCAAAGCCTCTCAGGCTTGGCTGCGGCAGTAGGAACAAGTAAATAATTGTGGGAAGGGGAACAACCAAAGCTGCTTTACCCAAACAAGTGTTTCTATTACTCTATGGGACTACAGGGATAACACAATCTATCCTACAAGTAGCTGAAATCAAATATCTTGCTCCGAACCACAGAATTGTCAGAATGGCAGGTGGTAGGCCATAAAATTCAGGATAATATGTAACTGGGCAGCTCTGAGTTCCAACTATAGGAATAGTAGTAAACTCCTTTGCCAAAGCAGTAACTGAGGCTTGGTCTACACTGTGGGGGATCGATCTAAGTTACGCAACTTCAGTTAAGTGAATAATGTAGCTGAAGTCAACGTACTTAGACCGCATGTTTTCTCTGCGGTGGCTCCACTGTTGACTCTGCCTGTGCTTGTCGCGGTGGCGGAGTACAGGAGTCAATGGGAGAGCACTAGGGGGGCGATTTATCATGTCTAGACTAGACGTGATAAATCGACCCC